GTGGCTTGCTCATCTTCAGTTGTGCTGTGCACACGCTGCACACTTTTTACGCAGGGTTGATTCTATCACACACAAAATCGACAGCTGAACTATAGAGGCTTTTCCGTCTTACAGGACTTGCTGAGTGCATGCATTTTACTGTGATTGTCATTTGAAAGTAAGGAAACAAACACAATTATAATTAGAGCTGTGCACCGCCCATTTTTGCTCACGCCGTTCACGCCGCCGAAGTTCCGAGAGAGACCACGCTGCCACCACACAATAATTTGCAGCGTGACACTATTTGTCTTATTTTTACCCAAGTGGGGAGTCTGGGCATAAAATACATCACTTCACTTTCTTTTATGCAGCTTTAAAAATTCTGAGAGCGGCATTTGAAGTGTCTTGACTTCTTTATAGTTTCCGTGTAAGCAGGTCCTGTCTAAATAAGGACTCTAAAACAGCTTGTGAAGATACACAGTCGAGCGTGTTGTTCTCTCTTAGCATTTCTCCGTCTTTTGGCATCATTCGGGACGCCCAAACAGTGATTCATGTGACATGATTAGGGCACACACTCTGAAATAGTTCATATACGAGAAATATCAGTTGTATATTGTTTTCTACCCTGCTTTACCATGCATTCGCCACCCGCCACCCCTGTTCTTCCTCATATCACCAAGGATCATCATGCGCGATGAACTTTTGATTTCGCTGCATTTTGTGTTTTCGATTGCACAAGTGGAAATAAGAAGAGTGTGGTCGAGAAATTTGAAACTGTGATAGGTTCAACGCTTATCGCTCACATTACCTGCATGCTTTATAAAGACGAATGTCGAAGAGCCTGTAAGAATAGTAGTAAAGAGAGTGTAGTGCAGAGCGAAACCAAAAGAAAAGGCTCCGAATTATTCATTCTCCTAACGGACGAATTCTTTACTGCGAAAAGAATGCAGTTTTTCATAGCAAAGCCCAGCCTGCTTCGACGGTTCTTGTATATTTTTTGATTGCGAGAAGTATTATATGAACACTCTCTACAGGCTTTCATCATCCCTGTCATGTTGGTTATATAAAGTCCAAATAAATTAGTACTTTTGTACGCACACTGTATGCTGGTCCCACGGATAAAATCTCGTGAGTGCTATAGCGGGAAACACTGCTGAAGCATAGATGAAATAAGCTACCCATCTCCGTTGCACAGAAGGTGCATGGGATAACATCACTCCGCGTGCAGTGCATTACCGTCGATTGCTCCTCAACCAGAAAGGAAGTGCTGTCTGTCTTTTGCTGGACAACTTTGAATATAGGCCCAAGGGCGTGGTCGCGAGTGCTATCCCACACTAGCGCATTACCTATTTCAGCAGGCATCAGCGAGCGGCTCGTTTGTTCTTCTGCACACTCTGATATCCCTGTACGAACCCTGCTTCTTGTCCCAGAACAGCCGTATTCCCATACACTGGTGTTTTACCGTTTCGCGAGATCAGATGACAAAGAGTTAGCTGCAGTTTAAGTTCGTTATGGGGCTGTGAGCTCCTATCGCAAGGTGTAAAATGTGAAGTCGTTGAAGGGTTCTCTGACCATAATACTGTTGAAGTCGCCTCAAACTTAGCATGTTCTTTACAAAGGCCTCAGATCAAAACTTTTTTGAACTTTCTTAAAGTTGATGACACTTCCGTACTGGGCACGTTAACCTCACCTTTTGAAGAATTTGTATGTTGTAGCAAATTTTGCAATTTAGATGCGGACCTTCTTAATTTTTGTGATGATGCCTATTAAAGTATGTGCCACAAAAATATATTAAATAGAACCCTACACCCATGCTACCATAAACATATAGTAATCCATTTCACTTGTCGCGTAAAGTGCTTCCGTAAGAATTGTCATTCCAAGTGTAATGATAATGCTTTTTGAGTTGATGCATTGAAAAGTAAATAGAAGCTAAAATCGAGAAGCTAAGAACCAGGGTTTCCACTGATTTTTTTTTCAGTGAAATTCCCCAAACGACGAGCGAAAAATCACCAAAAGTTGGCATTTTTTTTTCTTCAAATTTACGACTCAACATATGCTGCGGGCCTACAGTAATAAATATTGCTAATTATTTATAGCTCCTAGTAGTACAGTAACATCCATAACCTCTAAATTATACGGACGTGTTTCAATCGAAGTCGAATTGCCCAATTTCTCATGGGAGGGCTCACTGGGCTTGGATTGAGCCTTGGAGTCCCATCACCCACTTCACCATAGGAGCACTGAGAAAGGGCATGGATCATAGAGTTTCCTAAAATTAACTAGAGGGGACTCTGGCACTGCGATCGTTCAGCGACCATGGCAATTTTGGGAGTGGCATGGATTTGCGTAGTGTTCGTGCTTGCGGGCGGCGAATCGCACTTGTGGTTTTGTTTATTGCTGTGTTTTGGTTTTGTTTCTAATGAAAGAACAAACCGTTTGGAGCTTCGTGAGCTGATTTTAAATGGTCATTTTAAAAGGTGAAGGTGGTGAAGCGTAACTGCCGAACATTTGCCAATTGTTGTTTCGTGAGAAAGCAGCTTCAAGCCACGTGAAGCCAGAAGAAATGTGAAGTACGAAGGCTAGGCAAATACATGTACTGCTCATGGTTCCCATGCTCACTGAAGTGCCATGCGTTGCAGCTCTCATAGACACTAGTGCCAGAGTTCCCTCTAGTGTATATTTAGGAAACTCTATGTCGTGGATGCACCAGAAGCGTCCCTGAAGGTTAGCACCTAACAAAAGTTTGTGATGGTTTCAGTTGTATCGAATACAGGGCGAAACAGTCGCTACAAGAGAGGGATGACGTGCGTAGTTTTCCTGCGGTTTTAGACAATCTCATTGCAGTGGAATCATGTGTCTGATAATCGAGTAACTTATTTACAATATAACAGAAATAAATTTGAAAGGACTGTGTAGCTGGAGCAATGCCTCAATGCAGTTTCTGTAGGCTGCTCAAGGAAATTGATGTCTTGAAGAGCCCGAAAAGCTTGTTGACAAATGTACACTCTACATACCAAATCAGGGAGTACTACTGTAGTGAAGAAGTTGACAAGCTATTGACAGTTCGAGCTGTGGTTGGAAAACATAGCCTAACCGTCAACAGCCACTTGAGAAGAAAAACTTTAAAGAAGCTTAAAACTATTAAAGACCCTAGAAACCTTGTACCACTGCTTCGCAGCACGTGAAGCACTCTGTTGATGTAAATTTTGCTGGGAGGTTGCTGGCAGACTCACGACGTCAGTGCCTCAAGCATATAGGTGAATTAACAAACAGGACGTATGTACTGAATTGGGCGTAAAGTGCACCTTCTACTGGGGGGTCTAAAACTATAAAAAAATGGAAAAGGTATTGTTGCCCATTTGTTTCGAAGACACTGTGTATAGAATGCATAACTCAATCGAGACCTAAACCGAAAATCGCCAAAAATTCGCCATGTCGCTATTCGTAATTTCAGGGTGCCACGAGCCTCTCTAATTTGCCAATTTGGCAGAAAGTAGCTGCCAGTGGCAACCCTGCTAAGAACTACTACTTTAGCAATGCCTTCGCTACACTTATGAAAAAAATCCATCCAGGTTCTTAAGGTCAATTAGTTCTGGATTGTCTATGCCCTCATCATTTATTCTTGATGGTGAATCCTCTTTAAATCCTGAAACTATAGCAAATACCTTTAACAATTACTTCAAATCTGTTTCTTTTTCTATGAATAATGGCATCACTCCTTCATTTTCCATGTGCAGCAAACTACCTGCTCTTTATAATCTGGAATTGAGCTCCCGTGAAGTGCATAACCTAATAGTATTTTTGAAGTTACGAAACACTTTGGCCCAGACGAGATGCCAAATATATTTTAAAAGTAGTACTCAGTATGGTGTGCTATTTATTTTTTACCATAAAATTTAAAAAAGAAAATCTTTGCAATGGTTCCCCAACTGTGGCCAATATTATAGGCAAATATCTACGCTTTCTATATGAGCTCCACACTTTTGGAGTATATAATCAACAAATACTATGTAGAATACCTAAAGGCATACAACAGATTTTTCCGATCGCAGCACGTCTTTTGTGCTGGCTACACAGCTGCTTGAATTTACACACGACATTGTTGCTTTCCTTAACAACCGAGGACTGATTTATGCCATATTTATAGACTATTCTGAGGATTTTGACATGGTTTGTCATGCCAAACTTTAAGGTTCTTCACAAATTTTTTTGCGACAAAGAGCTGGTTGATTGGATAGCCGATTACTTGCAATCGCGCTCAAGATTTTGTAGGTTCAACCATGCGAAGACATGTGACATACAGATCACATCAGGGGTGCCTCGAGGCTCAGTGCTTGGGCTGCTTTTGTTTATTATTTATATAAATGACGTAGCCGAAATAATCAGTGACACCCAAATTAAACTTGAAATGTATGCAGACGACCGTGTTATCTGTAACATTATCTTTAATACTCAAGATCAGAATGTGCTAATTACTTTTTTTTCTTCGTTTTGTAATAGGAGCAAAACATGGAGATTGCCTAGTAACTGCGAAAATACCGTAGTCATGACCTTTTCAATTAAGAAATGGCCATTTCATTTCACATATACTAATGGAAGTGCTGAACATTTGTATTTAAACCTGCTATGTCTCGAAAACTGAAACAGCAGTATTTGTAAATAAATAACATTAAGACAGGCTGCTGTCACTTCAACTGCATCGCCCTTTCGGGCAAACAGATCTTTTTTTTAATATTTAAGGAATAAGTTGCTATCCTCACCAACTCTTAAATCGTAATTCAAGCCCCCCCTCCTTCCCTTCCCCTCCCCGCGCCACTGCCGATCCGATGGACCCCACACCATTGTTGACACGCCGCCGCCGGTGGTTGAAACACTGGTGCGCCGCCGCCAGCAATTTTGGTACGGGCGCACAGGTCTAATTATAACTGAGCAGCTTGATTGTGTACATGGTATTCTATAGCGACATGTCCTGGATATTCTTCAAGCTTATTGAAATTCCACCTGTCCCTCTTTTTCAGGAAGCTGGAGAGAGAGCTCGAGCAGCTGTGGCAGGTATTTGCCCACGAAACTGAACTTAAGGCATTGCCAGGTGACACAGCACAAGCTTTTGCTCTTCATCAGCTAGCATCACAAAACTGAGCCTGTGCAATTTACAGTTATGTGAAAGCAATCCAATGAGAGCCTCACAACTTGCTGTTGTTGCCATGTGGAAGTAAGCACTGAAAGCTATGCTATGACAGAATACACTGTTTACTCAGACAAAACAAAAATCTGTTGAAATACTTACTGCATCTGAAAGTACTAAAAGGCAGCTGGCACATTTACAACAAAGAACTGGCAATGCTAAATGCGTGTCGGGCATACAACTTTCCCATGTCAGCCAGACGGGCAGCTTTGCAAGAGATTCAATGATCCAGGACCTTAGTAAGGAAAGTTGGTAGTGCAAAACAACATAAACCCTGACAATAACATTCCAGCCTTTATTAGACAAACACCAGACCACAAATTTCATTGTAGATTGTGTGACTCAGTTTACGCACTTGTACACTCAGTATCTGTGTATGCTAATTTGCACAAGTGCAAAGGTCTGCCATGTCTTTAGTTATTGTTTGCACAATTTTTTAATTGTTTACACAATTATTGTTTGCACAATTTGCAAATTTCTGTAAAGGTCTCCCATGTCTTTATTTATTGTTGTAAGCAAAATATCGTTTAGCCCAGCCCATAATTTTGGCACCTTATTGTGTAATAATATAACTATAAAATAGCACTAATGCTCACATGAATGTTCCCCTTTATTAATAACAGTGTTTGAAAAGAGTGATGTGCATCGAATGCATTACGTACATAAATGCTGAAATATAAATAGCGTCTACCTAGGAGAAGATGGTGCTATGTTACTACGGTGCTCTTTGACTTACATGAATAAGACATAAGAGCACAAGACAAGGAAAGTGATTACCAATAAGGCATGCTTGCAACGACCATTAATGTCAGTACAACAATGCAGTATATTCGGAATGAAACTTGTGTTCCCTTTAGATAACAATGCCATACAACGGTGACATGTTTGCCAGAAACAGGGCCAACTATTGTTTTAACAATACTGTCAACATTGAGCAAGGATAATCCCAACTGTACTCTACACAAACAAGTGCTGAAACTAATACTGCATTGGCATTAGAGAAGTTGCGTTGGCTTTCCTAGTGATCATTAAGAGTTCAATGTGATGGCACTCCATCTTGGCTCCATGTGTAAAATAGTAATAGGTGTTTTAAGCAACACCAAAATTCAGTTTTAATCTGTTTCAATAATATTTAGGTCTCAGCTCTCCATGGGAGTATATATAGTGGTGCCGACTCACATTATAAAGAGTGATGCCACAAAATAATACAAACCACAAATTAGCAGATGAAACCTTAACAATAAAAAAACTGAAAGCAGCTCTTTTTCTTTGTGAAACAGTGTTTCCAGATTTTCTGCTCTTTTATGCTGTCTTTACTGCACTCATTTTATTGCAAGCTTACCTCTGTAGTGCACATGTTTTGTCTTCCCTTCCCTACCTTGTGCTACTTTGCACTAAAAATTGCCTCATGTTTTAGCTCTGTTATTTTCTTTTTGTTGTATTTTTAAGACTGTCATATTATCTATCTAAAAACAGAAATAGGCACTTTAAGAAGCTAACTGAATATAATTTCTACCCGGTTCAGCTCCAAAATGCAAAAGTACAAAGTTATACTATGAACAAAACATAAGAGGGCACAGCATGTTACTTGTAACAGAAATGAAATAAGGGAATCGTACTTTTCCTGTAATTCAGCAAGTTCAATTCTCCAATTGAACTTGCTGCATTGGCATCATGTCCCGATATTGGTTGGCATGCTTCAACGTCGGGTGTAGCACAGTGCCTCAGATGACAACGGAATCGTGTGATAGAACACTTCTACTCTGTTGGAGTTGTCCAGGCATGGCAGTATGGGAACACAAGGCAAAGCGAGAATGCCGACAAGATTTTGGAAGCAGGAAATAGTTGCAAGCAACCTTGGATGCCAAGGATTTACTCAAATTTTGATCTTTTTGCATGAGCACTACTGTAGCAAGACAAAAAGACCATTTTCATTTCTTTACCTATCTGGCAACTGATACATAATTTGCAGTAAAACTGCATTAGCAAGTTCACATGCTTCGGATGTATATACTAAGAGTTCGTTTGATGGCTCATGGCCTCGCTCAAACAGAAACTGCTGAGTTACAAGTACTATCATGGCTGGCTGTTCTTAGCAACTGCTACCATTGAGGCAGCATTACAGTACGATATCGTGTTCCACACCTGCATATGTGAAAACTTATAGCCGACCTACTATGTGGAGCTGTTGCAAGATGCGAGAAATAAAAACGACAGAACACCTTTACAAATGATTATTTAAATTATGTATATACATGGCAAGTTTTAGGTTACATCAAGGATCAGTGTGCTCAAAAAGCCAATTCAAAGCTTTAGCGCACTTATCGAGTACATCAGCAATCAACCATACCCACCAGCTTTTGCCACATGAGAACTATTGCAAAGCCACCTTAAAAGCTTTCCCACGAGCCAGCATTCATATACAGCTGTAACCAACAATGGGCTTCCTAAGAGCTAGGCCCTTGCATTTTTTCATTTATTAATGTTGGAAGACTTTGCTTGTATGTCTGTTCCTTATGTTCTGGTCATATTGTGCCACTTCCTTAATAGAAGTAGTCAATTTTTATGAACAAAACAAAAGTGTTGCAGTTTGTAAATAAAATTTTTGCCAAGGTTAGAGCCACCTAGGCACTTGGGGTAGTGGTAGCATTTACTTATGCAGTATTTCAAGGAGTAAACTGGCATGTCTTGGCCAATTTGCAGTCATTGAGTTTGCTTCCTTATGCAGCGTGGGGAGAGCTTTGAGCTGAACAGTTTGTTTTCCCATGTTGCATTTGTCACATCCTAATCCCCCATTAGGACACCTCGGGATCGAAGTGCAATTAAGTACTTTTTGTCAGTTATGTGCACCCAGTGACTTTATTTTATACTTGTTCAAATGAACCATAAATAAACATTCTCTCTCACTTCAATTTCTGTCCAGGCTGTGCTTAATGAACCTTTAGCACAAGAATGATCCACGCAAGCTGTGCTTTTGGCGATACGCATAGTGGCAAAGTGACGAAAAACTAGCAGTGTGGACTTTACTTGTGAATGTGAACCATATGTTGTATGTGGTGAACTGTGCAAGGGGCTACATTAGGGTCTTTAAAGTAGGAAGTTATGGAAATATAGTACACAAGTACGGTATACCACTCTTTTTCCAGTCCTTGACCTTTTGCCAGTGAAGGCACCTAAACAAATTTACTGTGTGGTTGTCATGCCTCGTCATGGCCTGTCATGTGAGGAGTGCACTGTCACTGGAAAGGACGAGTGCTGCACTACTGCCTTATCGTATTGACATACCATACATATTTCCATAATTTGCTAAATCAGTCAATTGGCTTGTATAAAAAATGAACATTTTTTGAGGCGTGCTGAACACATTATTTTGATTTGTTAACATTATTTTAGACATTGTTAGCATACTTTTTTCACTTTGTTTTGAGCATTGCTAGCCTTGCCTTAGGCCTGCACTGAACACTTAATTTTATTAAGCATGATCATGCTACGAGATCTAAGGATGAAAAGTTCATAAAGATGGGTTGTGTCGAGCCGACATTCCTACAAGCGGACTTGCCTTCCTCAAGGCTAGAACAGAACAGAACAGCTTGTCATCCATTCATAGATCACCAAAAAATGGAAGGGGAAGATGGAAGCTTGCAATAAAAAAAATCCGCAAACAGGGGTTGTGTCAAGACGTCGGCTCGACACAACTCTTGTTTACGGATTTTTTTGCCGCAAGCTTCCATCTCCCCCTTCCTGTCCTTCTTTGGAGACCTATAAAAGGATGACAAGCCAGTCACCTAAAGTGCTGTGCACCCCATTTGGTGGGTCAATATTCCGGCTAGCATCATTTAGCTCACCTTGCTTTTGATAAAAAAAAAAAAAAACTATTCTACAAACTCTGCTGCACAGTATGTGCTAACGAATAGCTATGCTCTGCTGCACATTCCAATGGCAGCTGCCCCATTTCATCCTCTCAAATGCTGAAATTCAATATACGTGCTCAGCATTAATAGCATCTTGGAGCCCAATCACTTTTTAGAGTTAAAAATGCATGGCACCCAATGATTAGATCATTGGACAGACAATATCTCCACTGGCATCGGTGCTTCTTGCACTCGTGCAGAAGGCCGATATGGCATACCCCTGCCTTCTGCACTGTGCAAAGATTTCTTGCATGGGAACATCTCCATGCAAGAAATTTGACAAGTTGTACAAGAACCCCAGAATATCATTACCATTGCCTAAACTGCATTACCAATGATGCCACCGAGGTCTGCTGATTTGGAGCAATTTTCTAAGCAGCAAAATTTGCATTTTAGAGCACTTTGGAGCCGCAAAATTTTTTCATTTCCGAGCACTTTGGAGCAGCAAAATTTTCCATTTTGGAGCAATCTGGAGAAGCTGAACGTCCCGGAAGAAAAGCAAGTTGCATTTACATTCAAAGACATCTATAATTATTTTGGGGCTCTTGTAAAGAGCTTAAAATATTTTGATTCATTGCAAATCTTATGGAACCAATCATCCAAGCATCACTCCCTGTTTCAGTTGGTGATGCGAAAATGATGGCATCACGCTGTTGAGTACTCGGGAAAAACTTGTTCAGTGACTAAATATTTTCGTAGCAAATAAACAGAATACTGGTTGAATAAAATAGTACTTCATGAAATAACATTCTGAATGCACCCATGTGGTTATCAACAGATTCAGTAGACAAACGCTAGAGACTCATGAATTCAAGAATAAAAAAAATAGGTTCTTTTTCTTCACAACTGATTATATTGCTGGGCGTAATATGATGTCATTTAGCTAGTCTCATAAAGCCAACCTCCTCTAGAACTTGTCTCTCTGTGCTGAAACTGAACGATTTAACAAGCTTCATTTTTCCTTTGCAGCGGTGTCTTCAATGGCTAGGATGTTCTGTCTATACATCAAAAACCCCCTATAGTGTCCTCTAGAAAGCAGTGTAAAAAAAAAAAAAAAAAAAAAACTCAAGGGGCACCTTATGCATTCGCCTAAAACAACTTGAAGAAGAGAGCCATTTTGTTTTTATTGGGATAGCAATTGTATCGATATTCTCAGCTTAATTGTGCCGTCGCCAGGGGCGTAGGAAAAAATATTTTTCATTTTTTAAGGGGGGGCAGGCAGGCAAATGGTCATTTTGCGCGGTAATAGTGTCATGGCGAAAAAAATTGTTACCGATGTCGTTGTCCCCCCAGCTACGCCACTGGCTTTCACCGTCAAGTTTTGAGTACTGTCCAAGTAAATAACACCCTCTCGCGCATCATGTTTTGCATGCGGGTGAAAGCGCGTGAGCGGGGGCGACGAATGCGGCTAAAGCAGAAATAAAAGAGCCGATGTATCTCCTTTGCGTGGAGGACGGATGCAATAACACCACCCTGCGTGTCAGACCTGTTATCGATTGTTTCTCAAGCAGAGAGGTAAGCGCCGCCCATTTTCAAGGAGCAGGAATGAATTAGGACCGCGGAGGGGAGAGGGGGCTTTGTTATATGAACATTGACTTTAAGGGTGTGATCACTGGCGTGCTCGATCGCCATTTCGGCAGGCATTAAAGACAGCTGGTATACTTTTCTACGTTGTACTCTCAACGTAAAGTGCCTCGGCAAAAGTGCTTCGTTTTCTGGAGCGGCCATATAGAGGCGTGCACTGAGCCTTGATCGCAAGGCAGCCACACCATATTCGCGTCATTTTGGAGGTCCATTCATAGGCGCCATTCGCCGGTTATAAATTCACACTTATCTAGAGCAGCGGAACTATGGTCCTGTCGACAGTGTTGTTGGCCGCAGCTTCACGTTGCTACAGGCTTCCATTGATGCTTACATTATAGCACAAAGGCTTAACACGCAGTATGACCATGTTTGGTATCATCACGGCGTCTCTCTTTACATACTTTCAAAAAAAAAGTACGTCTGGAACAGCTGGTTGGGTGCTCTAGAAAAGTCTGATTCTATCTGTACATGCTTCAGCATGCAAGAAGTGTTCTGGGGGGTCTCTAGTCATACAAGTCACTACAGATATCGAACACCACGCGGGCAGAAAGTTTTCTGCGCGTGTGGGGAGTGCGCATACCTCCGAAATAGCAACCTTGTCGCTAGTGTACCTCGCGGATGACGTGAAGCCTTATCATTTGGTATAAAAATACAACTTATTGGTATCGCATTCATTGCTAAGAGCTTAATGTGATAGTAACAAATCGTATCTTTTGTACCTCATATCACGTAAGTCAAAAGAACGCTGGCTAAAGGGACGTGACATCATGTCCCTTTAGCCAGCGTTCTTTAGCCAGTGGCAACTGGAGTGATATCACTCTATTTGCCGTAGCGGTTTTCGTGCTGTCAATCATCCGAAACAGGAAGCAGAGGTTAGTAGCACAGAAAGTTTACAAGTAGTCTTATTATACCTCGAGATCTAGCGCGCGTCAGTGACTGCATGCGCCCTTCGAGTGACGCAGCCTTCGACACTCCCACCCCTTAAAAAAAATCACAGCATGTCCACGGAGTGAATTGTGATTGGTGGGGCGAAGAATTTGTCAGTCTGTCCATGCTTCTGTCCGTCCATTCGTTCTTGCTTCTGTCCGTCCATGCATTCATCCGTTCTTCTATCTGCCCGTTCGTTCGTCTGTCTGTCCATCCGCTCCTCTGTCTGTCTGTCCGTGCGTTCATCTGTATGTCCGTTTGTCCATCCGTCTATCTAGTGAACACTCAAAGTACAGCCATCTCACATTTTTTCATGATGCATTCATCATATACGAGTGCCGGCATCCAGCGGACATTCTTAAGACCGCTCTTTTGCGTATGTGCCATCGGTGGTTACGCACTACAACGAGGGACGCACAAGCCGCGTCATAAGGAGTTTCGCCCCTAAAAGCAATGAATGCAATGCTGTGATGTTCAATTTTTTTTAATTATACACCAGTGACCTTGGAAAACGATGGGTGTACGTGTAACATGGCATAGCCGCTTCACAGTAGCCTTTCTGACACCAGAGCGGCCAGCGATGGCCCCACTACTGAAAGGTGCGCGTATTAAAACCGAGTTGCAGCTGCTCCGACCAGGACGCATGCTTTCGTAAATGAGGTAATACATTTAGAAAAAGCACGCGAAAATTTTGTATCCGGACGCTAGCAATATGGAGTTCGAGGGCAGGGTCTTTTGGAGGCTTTTACTGGAATAGCGATTACAAACGTGAATGTGCTGCAGGAGGCGTTCGAAAACGCTTTTTTGAATGAATATCCAGAAATAAATTACAGAGTAAAAGTGTCAAAGCGTTCCCATCGTGCATGTGTTCTTCTGTGGATGCGAAGCACAGAAAATTAGATCACGATGTGCAGAATTAGACGTGATAGATATTGTGGCAGCAGGCGTGAAGTCATTAGTGAACTCTTCAAACGAGCTGTCAGCAGCGTTCCTGCAACGAACGACGTCCGCCGATGAATCGCCGCCACAGTTTCACGCTACCAATTGAACTAGACGTCATGAGTCCCTGCAGAGAGCGCGTTTCGCCATTAAGCAAATTTGTACAACGAAAGTTGAGTCAGCACCAAATGTAGCATCGTGGATTATTTAAAATGCATGCACGACTGCTGCTTATTCAGCGGAATAAATCTAGGTACGTTATTGCGACTTTGGTGGCTCCGAAAAAAAGGTGCACATGTTTTGACGCGCCGGCAGGGATATCGTCGGTGATGGACGCTTCCAAATCGGACTTTACTGTGCCATTCTGATAATATCAACGGAAATTGCGCCAAACTTGACTTAGCGCACTTTGGCGCAGGAGTGGGACCACTACGTGGAGAACGCAGCAAAATAATCCATTGAAACTGAACATTTTAACGCATATCCCATTCAACTTGTTTTGTTTATGCTTGTTATACTCGCTTACCTTTATGGCAAGAACTTGGTGAACT